CTGAAATCCACCCATTTCCTAAAGCTCTATTATCCCTGAGGCATCTGAAACAAAAACATATCAATACTAATTACTTAGCAGAAAGCAATCAAGAAAACCTTCTCACTCTCAAATCTCTCTTCTCCCTGTACTCCTATAACCAATGTGCCTCTGAATGGGAAAGCCTGAGCTGTCTGAAAGCACACAGGGAGACATGGTGATAGCAAAAGCAAGTCTTCTTTATGACCTTGACCCCATGAGTCTTTTCTGGTATCTTCTTTTCACAGCCCTCTCCTGGTTCACCTGTGATAAGTGTAATCTCTTCTCAGCAGCTCCCAGTGCTTCAACTCACTGATTTCAACAAGCAAGCAAGCCACAGAAGAGGTGGTGTTCATACAAATCTATCCTTTCCCTTCATCACACTGATGCCTGTGCTGAAATGAGGCATCTTCAGTAAGTCCATGGGAACTGGTACCCACCCCAGAGCAGTCCCCTCTGTGGGCTGCTTAGGATGCTGGGCAGGCTGCCTGGGGGCTCCTGCAAAGGCTGCAGGATGCTGTGGGTGCTTGCTGCTCTGCTGTGGCCAAGGCTTCCCTAAGGCTGGGCTAGAGCAGCCAGGGGCTGGGACAAGAGGGAAAAGGGGCTCATTATAAGTAAAAGAACAACTTGAAACAATCCTCTATTTCCTTCTCTATGTTCTCTATGTTGAGCTAGACAATCACTCCTCAATATTTAGGTTTCATTAGTAAGTATATATATATAAGTATATTTATATTTATATTATTTATAAAAGCATAGTGCACACACACACACATATATATATGTATATATATATATATATAAATATATATATATGTATATATATATATATTTATATATGTAAGTGCTTAACCTACTCCAGAAGTTTTGGGGGCTTTTTTCCCCTCTATTTTCCTGAGCTAACGAATACATATAAGGTGTTTGACTAATCTTCTTTTCCAGTTAATTTTTAAAATAAGAATTATGGATTCCATATTTTTTCTCAGTCTCAATCTCCCTCTCATGCTCTGTTAGATCTTTCTGCATTCATTTGGGATTTTTCAGTCCATGGAAGTCATGAAGTTCATACCAGCAGAGTGGAACATAGCAAGGCTTAGAAAAAAGCAGGCCTTCATAGCTTAAATACTGAATGTGTGAATCATGTGAATGCTTGATTTTGCATAAGCCAGGTTCATTGAAATCACTGATCATGCTCTTGATATTAATTTTGAAATGGTAGATGATCCAAATTAATAAAAAATGGTGATCAATCTAGTATTTAATTTTAAAAATGAATAAAATATTTATTTAAGAAAACACAACCCCAAAACCCAAACCCCCAAATTAGAACAAAGGTGGAGAGGGAGAAAGGTAAAAAAAGGTGAGTTTTCTACCTGCTCTTTGTTTTGTCACATGTACTGATCAGAAAACTAGTAATGCTGGTGAGCTTTCCCCTCAATGCCATGGAATTATGCAGAGATGTGGGTCTTAGTAAGTAAATGCATTTATCTAAATGATTCCTATTAGAGACCAAACAGGCTCCCCTTAATAATTTGATACAATGGTGTGAGTATTTATGCTTCTATTTTGCCCTCTCTTCCTTTATACAAATGTTTTTACATGGAGCATGATGAATTAACATGAGCACAGACAGTAGAACAATTTCAAAGTGTCTGAAGATTTTCTCCCAAAGAAGATGCTGATTCTTAAACTTTATGCAAAACAGTGCCTTTCCCTTGAAGTGAGACAGACCTGGCAGTTCTCCTGTTTAATGAGGGATATTGGGGAAGAGGTTTGAAAGCAGCTTGTAGTAAAATAATATGTGCAGATTTCATGTTTTGCAACCACCAACAGCACATTGATTTTTGGTTCAGTACACTGGTAAGATTGCTTGTTTTGCACTTCCAAGTGCTGCAATGAAAGCAGTGATGGAGGACTGAGGGCAATTAAGAAAATGCTGTACCCATGAGAAGTATGTGCATTGCTCATCTGATTTGTGGTTTGAAATCCACCAGTTCCAGAAGCAGGAGGAGATATGCATTTGCCTCCCATGCGGCTTCAGATCACCAGAATCAGAGGAAATTGATGTGCAGGCTACTAGAGATATACCAAGTGCTTACTTTATTTGTGTTTATAATCAGCCCTTGAAGTGTGAGGATATTTCTAAGGGGAAATCTGCTACAGGAAAAGGCTCAAGTAACAATAGCCATTATAAATAACAAATGTTGCAAATCATTAATGACTTTCCTCTGAGTTTCTGAAGGTTTACTAAAATGTTTCTTTGAACTGCCTTTCTGTATAATTTACAAAACACTAACCTACCTAAATTATTAATAGTTTTTCATTATTATAGTTTATTTTTATGCCTTCTCTGAGTAGTGTTCCCTGTATTCTACTCAGTCATTGAAAGGGCTTTTTGAAAGATTTCTTCTGATGAATATTCACAAATATTTCTGAAAATTTTTAATAAAATTTTTTATTAACATACCTTGATAGAGTTGCTTTAATTTATCTTACTACTTCATTAGTGATATAAAATCTTTAAGTAGCCCTAGAAATCTAAATATTTTGCTCTCATAAGGGCATAAAACTACCTGTTTTCTCATGAATTTGCAATTTTCTCACCACTTTCCCTTTGAAACTTTATGAACCTTGCATGTCTTTTTAATATGCATCTGACATGATCTATGGGTATATCTCTACCCAATGGTTTACATTAAACTGCAAAGTGATAAATTTCATAGAGTCTAGGAAAACACTGTGTCACTAATCTGCTTAGAACCCTGCTTGTTGGTTCATTGGACATAATTATTGACTTTTTGAAGCTTCATGCAAAATCAAGGGGTTTAATAAGCTCTGCAATACCATAGCAAGATGCCTACTGCAGCCTGACAGAACTTTTGTATGCTTCCTGGAAGGCCACAAGCAAAGTGAATTTCTGCACAGCAGTTTCCTCTGATGATGGTGATCTGATGTGAGGAAATCTATATGAAAATCAATTTCTGGCTTCACAGTCTTCCTGTGTTATATTAATTTTTGGAGGACTATTTAGGATCAGAGGAAGACAAATTAGCTGATCTAATTCTGCCTGAAAACCTGTTTTTTTCTTTTGACAAGGAGTGCTTTTGGAGCTGGTGGTGTGTCTTACCAGGGTAACATCACAGGAAACCACTGGTGCCTATTGCCTTTTGTCTGGCTGCTGTGCATCCTTGTGAAGAGGGTCCCTCCACACTGTTTCCAACTGAGGCACTCCTCTCTGGCCTTGCACAATACAAGGGTTGAGCTTGCTGGGAAAAACTTCCTGCTATTCCCAAGCCTATTCACCTTGCTGAGCTTTTTTTTAAACTAAAATCAGGATCAAAGTAATTTCTACAATCAATTCCTACATGAGAGATCGCCTACATGATGGAGCTTTACCAAAATTCTCTAATATTAACTGTTTATGGTAATTAATACTAAGCAGAGTTTCAGAAAGATACAGATTTCCTTTAAATTTATGTTAAGCTAAGAAACCTCAAAAGTTTTTTTTGTCGTATGAATATAAGCTTTTGATTCTGGTAAAGTGAAATGGGACTTTAACACTCCAAGGTACCTATTTGCAACAACCTGCCCCCTCAAACAACTCAAAATCAGGTAATTCAAATTAAAATTAAGTTCTGGTTTTATGCTTGTTTAGCTTGCTTTTCTGTCCTTTCTTTATTTTTAAAAAACTCTTGAGCAAATGCTGTGATTACAATGTCAAATAATTTTACATTTTTTAAATGTGGACCTACCTAAGGTGAGTATTTCTACAAATATTCTCATGTAATGCAATGTCCATGTTAGGCTGTTCAGTCATATTTAACACAAAATGGTTTAGCTAGTTAGGATTTTCTCAAAAATTCAAGTTTACAGGCAATGTGTCTTTAGAAAGGATCTGACATTGTAAATCTTTTAATTTCCTAATTTTCAGATGTAAAAACCTTAAGATGTGCATACAGTATGTAAAATTGCACAGAATGAACCATATTGTTATTAAATATTATGATTACAAATATAACAGTCAAAACTTGGCCTGTGCCAAGAATGAGTTTGCTAGTAAAATATTAATTTGTTCCTTTGTATGCATACATATAATCTTTATGTAATAAATGATGCACAGAATATGACGGTCTTTAGTAATAAATGATGCACAGAATATGCATTTCCGTGTGCACAGAGATAAGGTGTATGTGTATGACGACCACAGATGTCCTGTTCCCTGTGGTGGATAGAATAGATTAGCACCTACTCACTAGCTCTTTTATGAGTGCCATGCCTCTCCTGCCAGTGCCTGAAGAAACCCAGCTCCAGAGGCAGGAGCACAAAGCTCCTCAGCCCCATCCCTGTGGGGTTGGGGTTTGTGTACAACCCTGGGGGGCTCTGAGAGTGTTAGGGGGGATTTCACCTCCTGCAAGCCATGTGGGGACCACTCCGAGTGCCTGTGCTGCCTGGGGGGCTTAACCTCACTGCCAGGGTGTCCAGGGCCTGGTGTGCCCTTCGATGCAATGTCCTAGAGGGATTCCCAAGGTGACAGTGCCTGGTGTACCTGTGATGGAATGTCCTAGAGGGATTCCCAAGGTGTCCAGGGCCTGCTGTGCCTGTGATGGAATGTCCTAGAGGGATTCCCAAGGTGTCCAGGGCCTGGTGTGCCTGTGATGGAATGTCCTAGAGGGATTCCCAAGGTGTCCAGGGCCTGGTGTGCCTGTGATGGAATATTCTAGAGGGATTCCCAAGGTGTCCAGGGCCTGGTGTGCCCTGTGAAGGAATGTCCTACACATTGTCCCACAAAGGTGGGTGTCCCACAGGCAGCCCCACTGCAGTGTTCTTTCTCTTTTTAATGATTAACAAATGAAAGAAGTGCTGTGTTACACTGGCTAAACATGGGAAATGTTGTGAAAACTTATAGGCAGCAGGACAGGAGAAGAGCTGGGGGCACAGGGCTGACCAAACCAGCATTTTGGAATCCCTTAATTCCATCCCGATCAAGCGCCAATTTCCGTCATTGGAGGCATCGCTGCTGGCTGTATGCTTAGCGTAGGCCCTAGCTTAGGCTGGCCGCCACCCGACAGTGCCGGTGGCCCGGGATCCAGCCCGTGGCCGCCTGCACACCTCGGAGCCGCTCTCACGCTGGGGCGCGGCGGCGTCCCGGCCTGCGCCGCTGCCGGAGGCGGGACTCGAACCGCGGTCCCCCTGACTCGCGGCTCCCCGCGATACCCGCGCGGCCACCAGGGCAGGAGCGGGTGCGCGCCGCGCGCGCCCCCGCACGGGCCAGGGAGGAGGGGGGAGGCGGGGCGGCGCGCGTGCGCGCGCAGCTGGGTGCCGGCCGCGCGCGCCCTCCCAGGCTTCCCAGGGAATCCAGCGACAGCAGGAAGGGGCTCCTTCCCGCGCACGCGCAGCTGGCCGGGCGGGCGCGCGCTGAGCCGCGGCGGCGGGAGGGAGGGGGGAGGGGAGGGAAGCTGCTGAGGTAAAGTTAGGGGGAGAGAGAGACTCCGTCAGCCAAGCGAGAGCCGGGGAGGCTCGGCGGCCGCCATTACTGAGCGCCGGGGAGAGAGCGGAGAGGCGGGACGGGGCTGCGGCGGCCGGGAGCGCTCGGGAGCTGCGGGCCGGAGAGCGGAGAGAGCCCCGCGGGGAGGAGAAGCCGCCGGGGGCGCCGGCGTGGAGACAGCGTCCCGGGAATGCTGCCGCTCCCGCCGCCGCCGAGGAGCCGGATCCCGACGGCGCGAGGTGAGGGGAGGAATGCGGTCCCGTGGGAGCCGGCCCGGCCTGGAGTGGGGCGGCCGGCCCGGCAGGCGGAAGGGGAGCGGGGGGAGGAGGCGGCTGCAGCCCGGCGAGCCGGCGCGGCGGCCGCTGGCTGTAACCAGTTCGGAGGGCTGGGGCCGCGTGGGGAGCGGGCAGCGGCCCCGCACCCCCCGCCCGGCCCCCTCGGCCCCGCCGCGCCGCGGAGGGCAGGCGGGAAGGGCAGGGAGCGGGGTGCCTGGTCCCAGACAGGTGATGAAGGCCTGAGCAATGGGAGGGTCTGAGCCTGCTGTACGAGGCTGCCAGCTGGTCACGGCTCTCTAGGGAGGGAGGAAGGCAGGAAGGGGAGCTTCCCTGCTCCTCTCTTCTTCCTTCCTCATTCCCTTCTTCTGCCTAGTCCTTTAGCTTCCTCCCTTCTTCCATTCCCACTGCCTTTTCCCCCTTTTCTCCTTTCCCTGTACTTATTTTCCTCTTCATTACCCCCCAATACTCGTTCATGCCTTCTCTGTTCTTTTCTTCCTCTACTAAATTTGAACAGTTGTCCATTCCCCTCCTCCTTCCTTTCACCTTCAAATATTGCTCGATATTAAATTTCAGAAAACTTCACTCTCCTAATGATGTGTGTGCATTTCTGTTTTTCCACCAGGTGGATTTTAAGGCTTTGGAATAGGGTAGCCAGTTGCAGTGTTGCAGCTTTCAAGCGTTTTGAATCCCTTCAACCAGCATAACCTTTAGACTCTCTCCACCCAAGGGAATCACCAGAGACATACAGATGTAATGCCGTGGTGTTGTAGCTATAGGACATAAGGAAACACTGCTTTAATTTATAAAAGAAGCAGGGCTATATAGTTATAAAAGGAAGACATACTTGTCACCTTCTCCCCACAATACACCCCACCGCTCTGTACCCCCCTCTTTTGCTCTTTCCAGTATCCCTTTTGATATCAGCGTGGAATATTTCCTTAATAAGTAGGAGGGGAACGATTTTAATCTAGACCAAAATAGGCCTGTGGGGGTATGTGTGTATTCTTTAGTTTAGTGTCATGCAGATAAACCGGTGGGGTTTTTTTTTTTTTTTTAATAAAGATCCTTGACAGAAATTTGAAAACTCTACACTGCAGAGTAAAAGCGGTAGAGAGAGAACAGCATTAGCTGGTCAATTGGCCGTCCATTTTAAACCTGTGCATTGAAGCCAATTGCAGCACTGATACTTGTATACTTACTTCCTAAAGAATGAGGAGTTAATAGGTGGCATTTTTGTCAGTTGTGCTGTCTTACCTTGTGAAGAGTCTTCCGCATGAGAGTTGTTTTCAGCAGTGACATCAGTGACCAGAGTTAACTGCCTTCTGATACTTATTTATAGTACATATCTGAAGTAAGGGCATTACAAATATTCATCCAGGTGCATTTTTGTAAGGGTTTACTTTCATTTTTTGTGCTGCTTTGAAAATTATTTTTAAGAAGTGCTAAAATTCTTAAAATTCTATTTATAGTACTCTATTAAAACTCTCTTACTAGAGCTCAAAAAGTATGATGTGAATGTAAGGGGTTATTTTAAAGTCTGTAGTACCTAAAGTATGGGAAATTGTTTAAGCATTTGTTACCTTACCACTAACTTGTTTCAGCATAAGTTGCTTATAAGTGTGGAACATACTGAGCTGAAATAGCATTTTCCCCCTGAAGTATCCCTATCTAAAGCAGCTGCCATTGTTGTAAAATTGTAAATAATTGCAACCAAATACCATTCCCTGGTATTGGACTTTACTTTAGCTAAGGTGTTGCATGTGTAACATAATCCAATTAAATACTTTAGGCTCAGACTAAATTGTTTTAAAATGCTATATTTAGCACTAACAGAACCAAATGCTCCACATGTTTTTCAAGCTATGTGCTTTCCTAAAGCTGTAGGTGTTTTTTTTCCGTTTGCAGACTTCGTAGAAAAGAAAAGCACTGATCATAATAATAGATTGTTCTGTGTAAGTTTCCCTGTTGGGACTTGTTATTTGAGTAGATTATTAAACATAATGGAATTATTTTTGCACTAAGATATGACAAGGATGCTGACGCTATCTTAAGGCTTCCAAAAGTACTTTCTTGACACGAGATAAATCCCATGTACTGGCATCCTTCAGGAATATTTCTCATAAAACTTCACAAAGCACTCCTCATCACTCCGTGTGGCAGGCTGCTCCGCGGTGTGTCCCTAGGATTCTGTGCAGGAGGCGTTCTCGGGGGGTGACCTTCTCCGGGAGAGTGGCACTCCGGGAGCCGGGCACCCATCGCGGAGTGCTGCTGGCACGGTTGCGTCGTGCGAACTGAAAGACTGAAAACAGCCCCGTTTGTGGCCATGACGTAGCCGTGCGAGCGAGCCCGCGGTGCATTCCTGCTCGGTGATAAGGCAGGAATGCTTTCCAGAGGGGCCTGCGTCCCGCGGCCGGCGAGGCGCTGCCGCCAGGGGGCTTCGGCCGCGCCGCGCCCCCCGCCCGCCCGCCCGCCCGGCTGAGGGGTCCCGCTCACCCCGGGAGCTCCGGATTAGCGCTCCCGGGGCTTTTTCCTCCCCTGGATCCGTGTTACGTCTCTCCTAATGGGCACACAAAATACTTAATCGCTCTTTAATCACTCTTTGTTTGGTTGGTTCTTTTTTTCTTTTTTACTCTGGGAATTTTTAGCCTAAAGGTCAGTGTGAGTGAGCTGGAAGAGTATTGCATTTTATAGATTATTGTTTGAACCATCTCATCACTTCCTTGTATTTACAGATTTGGTGAAATATTTAAAGAAAAACGAGTTTGTAATTCCTAGTAAGAAAATCTGAAACAATTGTGAAGTTATTTTGAATTTGCATGTCAACTGTGTTTTTCTAGTACATCTCTTGGAAAACAAAATAATTAATCTGTGGCTAGTTCTGCACATTACATTTTGTGGTAAATAAGTGTTGTTTCTTTGGCTTTGAGTTAAAATTCCCACGCATTTTTGCAGTTCTGCATCAGTTGACATTCAAACATGACAGAAGAATGTTTGCATTTAAAAAAGCAAAACCAATACCTGCATGCACAATTTTTGGAAAAGTATATATAGTTGCGTTTTGGCATTTATTCATTTAAGATGGCTAATTTTTATGCAGAACATTATTTGCTGCTTATATATGCCATTTCCCTTTCTCATTTAGTAATTTTAAAAAGGGGTTGACCAGTGTTGCTTTACACAGGTAGAAATGACACATACAGCTTGTACAAGGTCAAACAACAAACTAAACTTAATGGTGTTGAGTCCTGGATTCTATACTGCAGTTGCTCATGAAGCAAAATAATATGAAACGATCCAGATCTGTGGATCAGTATAATTAGTTGTAGTTGCCCATACCAGGATGTAAATTTTTCTTGGTTTTTTCTCCCAGGAAATGCATTTTAGCCCTTTTCTGTCCTTGCTTTGATCCCTCCTTTTTTGTCTGCTTCTTCTTCTTTCTTCTATTTTTGAAAGTTTTTTTTATGGATCCCCTTTGTAAAATTTCTCCATTAGTTCTTTTGTGTCTCCACAAATAAGCCTGATCAGGAGACTTGCCCTGAGAAACTTCTCTGACCACTCTGCATGTTTTTGATTGGAGCTTATCCTGTGCAAAAAGAATTAAGAATTTATTTCTTCTGTTATCTTGCACTTTCCTCCCCTGTTAAAATACAGGCTTTGAAACTATATTGAATGCTTTCAGATAGTCAAAAATCTGAAAATAAGTAACTTGAGAGGCCTGAGTTCAGAACACTGCTGTGCTGGTAATTTGAACCTTTACACTTTACCTTTTTATTGTACCTTGATTTAATGTATGTAGCTTGGTTTGGTTTTTCTCTTGTTTGAGTTTTTTTGTGGAGAGCAATAATGGTAATAGATGCCCTGGGACTGCTAGATTCCATCTAAAGAATGATATTTTGAGTTCAGAAACAATATTTAGGCTCTGATATAATTTTGTGTAATACATAGACAGTCTTCAGTGTATTATTAATAGAAGACATTTATTGAGCTTAGTAGGAACTAAGAGCTTTGAACTTCTGTTTTTAAACACAGTTTTTCTTTGCTTTATAATATGAAGTTGGCCAGTTGAGGTTTCTGTCTTTTTTATTTTTAATACATTGATTACTTTGCTTTTGTATGGAGAGAATTATCTAGGCTACAGAACTCCTTTAGGGATCATAGTTGGCTGTCATACTAACCAAATCTGAAATGAGCAGCAGTTGGACTCATCCATTCTCATCCTGCATTTCCCTAGCACGATTAATCAGCGTACCACTTCAACTGAATTTCTTTTCAGCCAGAGGACCACTGTTGTCCCTTACTGTCTTGCTGTTGCTTGGTTGAGCTTAATTTCTGATAAGCAATCTGAATCATGTTTTTTCCCTGTTGGCTGATACTTGGGTAATTGTTGTATTTACCATTATTTATAAATAGGATTTCAAGTATGTTTAGTTAAGGTTCCCAGCACTTGTGAAGGCAAGAATGTTAGTGTGTTTGTAAAGTGGACAGGACACGTTGTGTTAGGACCTCAACAGCCTTAAGTGATTTCAAATTTTTGATAAGGTGACATTGATATACTTTGGTTTCATTTCTGAAACAGATTTTCACCTGAAGGGAAGATTTCTTATACTTGCTTGAGTGAAAAAGATAACTCTTGGTAAATACTGAATGAGAAATGACAATGCTACGTTAAGGTACATCAACATTTTTTTTTCCTAACTGGTTGTTGGAAGAGAAAACAGTGGAATTCTTACTCCGTTTTGGGTAGGGCTATAGTTACTGTTGTGCTGATAGATCTCAGATGTTAGGTACTCTAGTAAATGTTTTCCAATGCCAGGTTTTGGTTCTCGAAAAGCATGAAGCGAGGAATGACTTGGTATAAAAACTTGGTGTCAGTAGTAACTTGAATCTGGAGCTGTAACTTTCTTGGAGTCATGATCTGTGTATTTTGAGTGCACAACACTTTCAAACTTATCCTCCAGACCATTTCAATGACACCTGATGTGTTTGAATTTACTTGATGATCTGCTGTAGAGGTTACAGTAAGTTTCTTTTGGTAAAGCAGACTAGGCTGTGATGGGCCTTTTATTCACATGTGCTTCTTTTTGCTTGGCCAGGTAATTTACAAACACAGTTGCAAGAGTATGCCGATTGAAACTAACCCCAGAAAACACTGATCCATAATCTGTTGTGTCTAGGCAACACTACAGAGCGAGTAAAGGACTTGTGGAAAACGCTCTATTTTCCCTGTTGGCAGACTGCTTAAATAGTTGATGGTCATAAGCAATTCTGTGGACTCTTTCAAACAACTTTTTTGCTTCAGCCATGTTAGGCCTAAAACATTTGTAGGTTCAGAAAGCAATTTTGGAGGATATTGAGAAATACTCAAGGGTATTTATCTGTAAGTGCTTTTCTTGACTGTGGACTCATCTACAAGTTCCTGTGCAGCCACAATACTTAATACTGATAGATGATTAATTCTTCAAGTATTTATTACTTGCTAATAATATGGCATTCTATTCTAGTGTTTAGAGTTCAGCTTGGAAGACTTTAGGAAATATGTATTTGTAAATAGGGCTTTCTCTAGTGTCTTAATGTTTCTGACTGATGTTTTCGGGGCCTGTGTTTGAGCTTTCTCTTGTGGCAGTGTCCCTCAAGCCTCAGATGCATTCTTGCAAGAGGAGATGCTTTTCTCTCACTCTGTCTGCTCTTCCACATACTCTGAGTTCTTCAGAGTCCCATTGTGTTTTTCCTCATGAGCAAGTATCTGCTCTGCTCAGGTAGCTGTGGATGTAGAGGAGTGCCACAGCTTGCAGGTAAGGGCAGGGAACAGGACATACTGCCTATCTTCTCTATCAAGTGATAGAATTTAGCAGTGAGGCTCAGCCAGGCTTAATGCAGGACTGATACTGTTGAGACAGCTGCCTACTGATTTTGGTGTTCTTCGGTACTACCAGATTAGTTACTGTTGTATTGTTTATGAGTATTACCAAACCTTTTTTGTCCAAAGGAAAATTTACTAGAGAAAAGTGAATGTTATTCCCAAAGCAAAGTGAAATTATTAAGAATATAATTGTAAATGGCAAAACAAGAAATAGGTCTGTTGTTTTGATGTAGTATTTAGCACATATACAGCGTGGTGCTGCATCTTGCTTAACAATGGCACCTTTCCTTAGTTGAAAATGGCTTACATAATATTCCAGTGCAAGTGCCTAAAGTTCCTTTCCTGTTCTGCATCACAGTGTGTGGATCACCAGGCTGGCAAAGTCTGGGTTTTGTGTGGATGCAAAGGGAAGAAC